CTTAAAAAACCATTGGGTTTTTGATGTTTTTATGTTAAAATCGCTACGAAACCTAAGGTTTTGGAAGGATTTCGTCTTGCGCGCACGAATGTCCACTTTACCTTATTTTGTGCAAGGGATTCTTGCAATTTGATCAAGTAAGAACAAGAATTTTCATTTTATAGTGTTTTTTGCAAAAAAAAAAAAAAAAAAAAAAAATAAAAAAAATAAAAATAAAATAAAAAAAAAAAATAAAAGGGAAAACGGACTACAACAAAACAACCGGATCCGGACACAATCCACTTTTCTGAAGCTTTCGCTAGAAAATGAAGGAAATGAGGCTGCGGCCTAGGTTTTGGAGGGGGGTCGCGCACCAGGGGTCTCAACAATAATATTTCTTTAGAAGTAATAATATTCAACAACAACAATTACTAGCACGTGGGGACACTCCGTTCTCACCAGTGCCAGGGTTTTCATACGACGCCCGCCAATACCCCCACTTTGAGGGGGGGCCGGTTCAAGCTCTACCACATTTCCAAACGACTCTTCGCCACCACCCACACCCAGCTTCCCGCCCTATGACGTTCGGACACTTCACTTCGTGGCCTGCGGACGACCGTGGCTACTACACTGGCGCATTGGTACAGTGACTTGTTGTGGTAACATTTTCTGGACGCTAGCTTAGTATACGACTTTTCCCCCTGTTCCAACACTGGACACCTGTACTGGTTTTTGGTGGTAACGTGTTCCTGACGCTAGAATAGGAAACCACGGTTTTTGAAGATTTCGGCGTGCGCGCGCGAAGAAAAACCGAATGTGTCCCGCATGGTATTATTTGACAGGGATGATGGCCCTGGCAGGTGCGCAACCGTTGTTGGAGAAGTTCGAAGCACGTGAAAAAGTTGCTCGCAAAAGCCCGTTTGACAGAAATGTTTAAAAAATGTTGGGTTTCCTACAAATCCGCAAGAGCGCGCGGGATGAAATGTTGACACTTTTTTTTTTGAAAAACCATTGTTTTTTGATGTTTTTATGTTAAAATCGCTACGAACACTAAGGTTTTGGAAGGATTTCGTCTTGCGCGCGCGAATGTGCGAAGTTTGGTTATGTTAGAACAAGACATGTCATTTTATATTGTTTTTTGACAGGGAAAGCGGGCGTCAACAAAACAACCGGATCCGGACTCCCCCGTTTTGCCTGAGACTTCCTCACGAAAATGATGAAAATGTGGCTGCGGCCTAGGCGCGGCGAGGGGGGCGTGCACCAGGGGGCCCAACAATAATTATTCTTTAGAAGTAATAATATTCAACAACAACAACACCAACACCAACACCAACACCAACACCAACACCAACACCAACAACAACAACAACAACAACAACAACAACAACAACAACAACAACAACAACAACAAGAACAAGAAGCCGTGCATCCATGAAGGACGCGTGGGCAGAAATAGCAACTACAAAGTTGCCGCGGCCGCAGCGGGCGCTTCTAGGGGGGGGGAGGTGGAGGACGCAAAATGCTTCAAATGCTCAGGTGACCGAGGTCCAGGAGGCCCAAAAAGAGGAAAACGAGGAGAGGGTAGAAGTATGGGTGCCTCTTCCTTCTCTGAGTGGACCCGGACAGCTGCCCGCGCCACGCGGGAGGGGCAGAGGCCCCTGCCCATTACCAGCCTCGAACTTATCCCTATCCCTGAGATTGACACGCCCAAAGGCGATGACAATCTTAGGGACGCGCCCTCAAAACTTACGGGAACCCCTAAGATTGGCATCGTGATGAGGAGATGCCCAGCATAGGGATAGGGATATGTTCCAGGCTGGTAAGAGGAGGAGGAGGAGGAGGAGGAGGAGGAGGAAGGATGAGGAGGAGGAGGAGGGAGGAGGATATGAGGAGGAGAGGTAGGAGGAGGAGGAAGGAGGAGGAGGGAGGAGGGAGGAGGAGGAGGAGGGAGGAGGAGGAGGAGGAGGCGGATGAGAGGGAGGGAGAGGGAGGAGGAGGCGTAGGAGAGGAGGATGAGGGATTATGAGGGGGAGGAGGAGGAGGAGGAAGGAGGAGGAGGAGGAGGGAGGAGGGAGGAGGAGGAGGAGGAAAGGAGGAGGAGTAGAGCCGCAGCAGGCCCTGCCTCGCGAGCCCCGGGCGCTCGCCCGGCCGCGGAAGGGGCTCCCCGAACCGCGGGGGGGGGGCAGAGTCCGAGGAGCGTCCCGGGCCCCGTAGGCCCCTCCGGAGCCCAGGGTGGCCCTAATCTGAGGAGGAGGAGGAGGATAAGGATGAGGAGCCCGGGGTGTACCTTCTTCGGTGGAGGAGGAGGATAAGGAGGAGGACCCCTCCCCATTAGATCCTCCTCCCTCCTCCTCCTCTCCTCCTCCCTCTCCTCCACCCTTCCTCCTCCCTCCTCCTCTCTCCTCCTCCTCCTCCTCCTCCTCCTCCTCCTCCTCCCTCCTCCTCTCCCTTCCTCCTCCTCCTCCGCCTCCTCCTCCTCCTCCTCCCTCCTCCTCCTCCTCCTCCTCCTCCTCCGCCTCCTCCTCCTCCTCTCCTCCTCCTCCCCCTCCCCCTCCCTCCTCCTCCTCCTCCTCCTCCTTCCTCCTCCTTCCTCCTCTCCTCCTCCTCCTCCACCTCCCCCTCCACCTCCACCTCCACCTCCTCCTCCACCTCCACCTCCAACCTCCACCTCCCCTCGTTCCTCCTCCTCCTCCACTCCTCCTCCTCCTCCTCATCCTCCTCCTCCTCCTCCTCCTCCTCCTCCTCACTCCTTCCTCCTCCTCCTCCTCCTCCTCCTCCTCTCCTCCTCCTCCTCCTCCTCCTCCTCCTCCTCCTCCTCCTCCTCTTACCAGCCTGGAACATATCCCTATCCCTATGCTGGGCATCTCCTCATCACGATGCCAATCTTAGGGGTTCCCTTAAGTTTTGAGGGCGCGTCCCTAAGATTGTCATCGCCTTTGGGCGTGTCAATCTCAGGGATAGGGATAAGTTCGAGGCTGGTAATGGGCAGGGGCCTCTGCCCCTCCCGCGTGGCGCGGGCAGCTGTCCGGGTCCACTCAGAGAAGGAAGAGGCACCCATACTTCTACCCTCTCCTCGTTTTCCTCTTTTTGGGCCTCCCGTACCTCGGTCACCTGAGCATCTGAAACATTTTGCGTCCTCCACCTCCTCCCCCCTAGAAGCGCCCGCTGCGGCCGCGGCAACTTCGTAGTTGCTATTTCTGCCCACGCGTCCTTCATGGATGCACGGCTTCTTCTTGTTGTTGTCAGGCCTCCCTCGTCGCCACCGCTGGGTTCGCCTCGGAGTCCTGGTCAGAACGCACCCCAGGAGAGGTCCGGGGAGTGGCGGTGGGTAGGGGACCTCTGCCCCTCCCGCGTGGCGCGGGCAGCTGTCCGGGGTCCACGGGGCACGACCCTGCCCCGAGATCCAGCGCATCGAAAAAATCCAGACGCAGGTTTTTCGAAAAAGTTCGGCCCCCAGGGAGAGGAGGAGGAGGAGAAGGAGGAGGAGGATCTCTGGGGAGCGTGGTTCCGCGTGGAGCCACGTCGCGGGAAGAAGGGCCACCCGGGGCTCCGGAGCTGTCCGGGGTCCACGGGGCACGACCCTGCCCCGAGATCCAACGCATCGAAAAAATCCAGACGGAGGTTTTTCGCAAAATTCGGCCCCCAGGGGCCCTCGCCGGGCCTCGGGGCCGTCAAGAGAACGACTCGGGATGCGAAACCGGTCGTGGGGAATGGGTCGAGACTTCCGGGGACCGCGCATCGAGAAAATCACGACGTCGGATCGATCTCTAGGTCTGCCGCGAAGGAAGATGGGTGATCCTCAGGACGTGTGCTGGCGCCAAGGTGTGTGTTGCCCACCGAGGCCCTTCAGAACGACGGAGGCGATGTGCTGATCGACTGGTTGGGCTAGACGGGGGAAACACACATTGGGCTAACAGCACACCCAGAGCCCCGACGTAATGATTTGTTCATTACGTCGACCCCCAGAGGTCCCGACCCTTTCCCTATGACCGGATTTGCATCCTGAGTCGTTTTTTGACGCTCCCGAGGCCCGGTGGGGCCCCCGGAGGCCGAAAATTACCTGGGTCTTTGTACAGAGCAGAATAATGCACCGAAACCTATGTATTTTTGTTTTCGGTTTTCTGTTATTTTCCAAGCAAAAAAAACAAACAAACCTTAGCATTTCCATGCCACAAATAACAAGGAATTGAAGCAAAAAACACAATCGTTTCGGCCCTGTTGGGCTCTGCTTCGCAGGGCCTCGGCCCCACGCGCAAATGCCACGCAGCGCGCGTTGCCGCGTGCAACGACCGCTGCAACGTTTAACGCACAGGGCACGAACCACCAACCAAGCGCGCGCTCGGATCCCGAGCGCGCGCCGCAGGTTGATCGAAAGACGCGCGGCCGTCTTGCGCGTGTGCGCTAGCCAATGCGATTTGAGCCGAGATCGCACGAGCCAAAATGGCTACTGGGGCGGAGTGAGGGAGAGGAGAAGGAAGGAGGAGAGGAGGAGAGTGAGGGGGAGGGGGAGGAGGCGGAGGAGGAGCAAGAGGAGGAGGAAGAGAGAGGAGGTGGAGAGGAGGAGGAGGAGGAGGAGGAGGAGGAGGAGGAGGAGGAGGAGGAGGAGGAGGAGGACGACGACGAGGAGGAGGAGGAGAGGAGGAGTAGGAGGAGGAGGAGGAGCAATAGCAACAGCAGGAGGAGGAGGCCTTCCCGCTCCTCGTCCTCCTTCTCCTCCTCCTCCTCGCCCTCCCCCTCCCCGCCGAGCTCTCCTCCTCCTCCTCCCCCTCCCCCTCCTCCCTCCTCTTCGTTCCTGCTCGTCGTGTCCCGTTTCCTTTTTGCTGCCGTCGTCGTCCTCCTCGGCTTCCCCCCTTTTTCCCTCTCTCGCTTGTTTGCTCGTTGTCTCGCTCAGTCTCTACGTCTTTCGCTCGCTAGCTCTTTCTCGTGCTGCCTTGTCTCGCCCCCCCCTCTCTCTCTCTCTCTCTTTCTCTCTTTCTCTCGTTCTCTCTGTTGTCGTCTTCTCCCCTCCCCCCTCTCCCTTTCTCTAGTTCTCTCCCCCTGCGGTCGAGGGCCTGCGCTGGGGGCTCGCGGGGCGCCTCCTCAGTCCGACGATTCCTCGTCCTCGTCGAACTCCTGGTCCTGGCGAAGGGCGGGGGGGTGGGCGGTGGCGGCAGTTTCCACGTTGCCCTCCTCTTCGCCCACCCCTCCGTGGTCACCTTGCCTACCCGTCGAAGGCAAAATGCCATGGAGGAGGGGGCGATAATTCGGAGGCAGCTTTTAAATTCGTTTAAGTTTTCATCGGGAGATCCTGGGGCTCGGCTGCTGGCTCTTCGGGCAACTCGGGATCTCCACGGCGCTCCTCGGGCAACTCGAACAAGGCTCCGCCAGGCTCGGTCGGGAGGATGATCTGCGGGAGCTCGGGCCCGCGGTTCAAGGACTGCACACCCTCACGAAGAATGGTTCTCAAGCGCTTGTTCTGCTTTTTCAGGGCCGCCGCGCACTTCTTCCAAGCGTCACGTAGTCGTCGGGCTTCAGTGAGCCTCAGCTTCAGGGCATCTCGGGATAGCCGCACCATCGTTGCAGTGTATGCTCGGGTTTGATCAACAATGGTGAACCAAAGAGTTGCCGCCCACTTGTTCTCTCGAGCAAGAATGGCTACGGAAAGGAGGCGGGTTTGACAAGTGAAAGTCCTTGTGAGGGGAAAGACTTTGAGCTCAACCGATGGGGCCGAGCTTGAGCTTTCAAGGGCGACACGCATTACATGGGGCTCTCCAGCGGCGGGGTCTGGGTGGCTTTAAACTGCACTCCTGTGACACAGTCTGGGGAGGAGGAGGGGGGAGGGAGGATGAGGAGGAGGGGGGAGGGGGGAGGAGGAGGAGAAGGGGGTGACCAGACCCCATGGCCACCAGAAGGCTCCAAGATGACCCCTCAAGAGGGCTCCAAGAGGGCCCCAAGTGGGCCAGGAGGGCCCTTCAAATCAATGGGCGGCCATGGAATCAGTATCCCGCAACGTTTTTGTCCGAAAAATGTTGCGGGATACTTTTTTTGAAAGAGGTTTTTTTGGGCCAGAGCCTTGGAGCCGCTGGTGGACATGGGGTTTGGCATCGGCGCCAGCCTTGGGTATACACGATAGCGGCCCCATCTTTCTTTCTTCATGTCGCACTCGTGTTTATATCCAGTGTAGCGCCGTGCACACAGGCGCAGGCAGCTACGGGGTGGGGCTCTCACCGATGGTTTGCTTACTCTTGTGCCGTCCTCTCCTATCCTCGCATCCTCCACCCGCTCTTGGCTCCTCACTCCTCTCTTCCTCCTTTCACCCCCCCCCTCCCTTCTCCTTCATCCCTCCTCCTCCCTCCTCCTCCTCACGCCCCTCCCCCCTCCATTAGAAGGGCCAGCGTACTGGCCCCAAGACTTCGGTGTAGCCACCACCTCCACGGCGAGAAAGGGCTCCACTAGAGCCGTCAACCCACGCAAAAAAAGTGCCACCCTCGAACTACTCAGCGACGGCTCACGCCAAGCGCTGGGAACAGCTCGGCAACCCACGAGCGGCAGCTGGAAGGCCCATGATGCCTCACGACTGCTCCTTCTGGCTGATGTAGACCTTGATGGATGCCGTGACGACCCCCGCGCCCTGAGAATCTTTCGCGAGCTTCTTCTTCAGGTTGTCGGCTGTGATCGCGTTCCCAGACGGGTCCTTCTTGTCCCTGATGATCGTGCGATACTCCGTGATGAGCTTATCGATCTTGTTTTCTTTCTTGAGGATGTGCTCCTTCGCGAAGTCGTCGGTGGTTGGGTTCTCGCCGATCTCGCCCGAAATCTGGTCCATCTTACCCTTGATCTTCTGGAGATTCTCGAGGGCTGTCTTCGCTTTGCCGAGGGCGGTTGCCAGAGCATCTCCCCCACCAGGATTCTCAGCTGCAGGCTGGGTCTCAACCTCGCCCAAGTCGAACCCAGACTGCAACGCGAACAAGTCCTCGTTGACCGTGGTGAGGAAGTTGGCAACCTGAGTCGAGTCACCCTGGATGCCAGTTTTCGCACCGAGCTCCTGTTCGCTGCTGACCAGCAGGCCTTTCGAGACAACCTCCTCGTCGTGTACGTACCTGGTCTCACCCTTGCTGTTCTTGACCTGCTTGATCTCGCCGTTCTTCAACGCGCGCAAGGCCTGAGTCTCCCCGCCCATGATAGCGCACATCCTGATCCACCCAACTGACGTAGCCTTCTCCTTCTTTTCCTTGGTTTCTGCTATCTTGATGACGGCCTTGTAGACAGGGTGGGCCCAACCTGCAATGACCCAGGCTGCGATCTTTAAGTTCTTGGCGTCGCGCTTGTTCAAGCCGTAGCCCCTAGCGTCGATCGCCTTCAGGTCGTCGCGAATCGCTTGGGGAATGTCGTCCTTGGAGAGAGCCTTCTGGAAGTCGCTGCGCTGCTGGCGAGTGAGCTTCGTCGCCAGCGCCTCGGCCTCATCGTTGCTCACCTGGTCGCCGTCGTCGTCGACCTCGGGCGCGTCCATAGAAGCTGGCTTCCTCGTGGAAGGAGGAGTTGCAGCAGCAGGCCTCCTCAATGACTTGACGCCCGAGCTTCCAGGAGAGATCGAGCTCTTGTTCTTCTTAGCCTTCATAGGCGTGACAAAACCAGCAGCCTGACGACGCAAGCCAGACTTCAGCTTCAGAGTTGACTTCATCACGCTCTTGGGTGCCATCGCAGCGCTCGCGAAGTGATGTTCAATTGCCTTGGACTTGGGTGGTATACGAGCCAAGCAAGACAGGCCTGAGCCCAAATGGCAACAATGGTGGTGACAAAGGTGGCAACAATGGCCAAAATGGCCCTCCGTGCCCTCCCCCACACCCACCAGAGCTGGGGCCCAAGAGGACCCCCAGACAACTTCACGGGGGGGGGGCGATTTGTTAACACCCTGGTCGGGCGGGGGGGGGGGCGATTTGTTAACGCCCTGGTCGGGCGGAGGGGGGGGGTCCCTGGAAACCGGCACCCGTGGCAAAAAAAGCCGGTGTCGCCCCCCGTTTTCTTTTTTTGGGGGGTGGGGTTATGCTGGAATGCGCCCCCCCCTTGGCGGCGTCGGAACGCGGGCACCCCTTACTCCTGGATCAAAACCTTTTGCCCCAGGAGTAAACCTTACCCCTTACTCCTTACTCCTGGGGCAAAACCTTTTGCCCCAGGAGTTTACGCACGGCGTCAAACTCCTTCAAACTCGTTACTCCTGGGGCAAAAAGGAGAAGGAGGAGGAAGAAACCGACGAGACCCTCCTTCCCAGCAAGGGCGGCCTCCCCAGCGCGCGAGGGCGGCACGGCGGCGAGAGAGCAGTGCAAGGGCGGTGCTTCTTGACTTCTGCTTCTGCTCCTCACGTCTCGTTTCCCCTCATCCTCCTCCCCCCTCCCCCTCCTCCTCCGCCTCCCCCCCCCTCCTCCTCCTCGTCCCCCTCGTCATCCACAGTCAGCCCCATCCAGGAAGCATTTCGGAGGCTTGTTTTTTTGTTACATTCGCAGCGTTTTTGATAAAACTGGTTTGGGCGCACTTTGCAGATTTATCAAAATCGCAGTTGTTTTGTCAATAATGTTGTTCATGATTCCAAACGCTTTTGTTAAAATCACAGTTGTTTTGATAATGCTGCAAATCGAGCCCCAAGCATGGTTTGACAAAATAACATATTTTTTGTTAAATGTGTCGTTCCCGAGATCATGTTTTGTTAAAACCGCGGTTTGTTTGTTAAATGTGTGTGTGGTGTTGTTTTCGTAATTATCAAAAGCGCTGTTTTTTTGTCAAACGTGGTCTGGCAAACATGTTGCAGAATTGTTAAAAGAGCTGTTTTTTTGATACACTTGTCTGGTGCACGTGTTGCAGTTTTGTTAAAACAGCTGCTTTTTTGTTAAACTTGCGGTGGCTCTCTGGGGAGCCTTTCAGGCCCCCTCAGGGCCTTTCGGAGCCCATGATGCCTGCGGGGCCCGTCGAGAGTCTCTGGGGCATTTGGGGATCCTGGGGGCATGGCCCTTCGAGGCCTTCCAGGGGCCTTCGAGGTCTTTCAGGGTCCTTCGTAAGCATTCGTGACCCTTCGAGGCCCCTTTTGAGGCACGGTGGGGCGAGGTAGGCAGACAAGGCACGTGGATCATGGCCCTGGGGTGGCTTGCTAGTTTTCAGATCATCCCATCATCACTCAAACGCTCAATCCCGAATGTTGGTGGGCTTTCTCACCCATCCAAACTGTATTCGCAAGCTCTGTCCCCACAGATACCTAGACATGATATGTGGCATCCTCTGGGCTGCGGGAATGCCCGAGGCTGCCGCCTTTACTATGGCCGCAATCCTGCCAACCAAATCTTCGTTGCTATAGCACCATGCAGCTCTCGGGTTCTGGAAAACAGCTTGAAAACCTATGTGCCACAGGTGGTGCAGCTTAGGCTGAATACCCCAAAGGAGAGCGTTCTTGGGCTGAGGATTCTGCTGCGAAAGCCAATTGTAATGCAATTGCAAAGCTTCAGCTGCAATGCGAAACTCTCGGATATCGTTCTCTGGTATCTCTGGCTTGCCATTTGGCAGCTTAGACTCCAAGACACGGTAGTACGTGCACAGGTGACGCAGCACCTGCTTGACGTGGCCATCATACTCGGACCCCGTGGCGTACTTCTCGAAGATCTCAGCCACCACAGGCGCAAGGTGTCGAATATTGGCTGCCTTGCCGTGCAGTTCAGGGAACGTGTTGTTCGGTGCCTTCGGGTCGGTGAATGAATCCAGGTCGATCTCACTGAATTGATTTTTAATCCCGTGCTCTCTGTATTTTGCCACAATCTCCTTCCACAGTTGTCGCACTGCAACCTTCGCCTGGCCAATTTTCATTCTCCCACCGTACACCAACAACCATATCACATTACCAAGAACCCTCTGCGTGTTGCCTAGCTCCATGAGGTGCAGGCCGTCCTCGAACACAGCGAAAATATGTATGCCCAGTCCTCCTTCGCTCCGTGGTCGAAATAGCAAGCATGGCGTCTTCCCGCGGTCTCGACAGTGGGTCAACCATACCCTCATGTCCAAGAAAACCTGTTGCTTCCAAGGTGCGTCCGCTGAGAAATTCATCCAGTTCATTGTGCGATCAGCTGCAGGTGTGGAGTCTTTCAGTTTGATGGCAGGACAATGCATACACGGATAGTCAGAGCCCCAATGCCCAGGAATATCGAAGTGGTTGTTCTTGAATTCGGTATCGCCTTTGATGAGCCAAACTACAAAATAATGTCCGCCAGCGAAGTGTGTGTTCCTCCTTGTGCGTTGAATGGTTCCAGCAGGAAACGCATTGCCATCCATATCTTTTTCTGGGAAACAACCAGTCTCCAAAACCTTGAGCAAGTATATGAGCCGCTTCCAGAAGTGTGATTTGGCCGCGCCCAAATCGGAGTCCTTGACTTCACTCTTTGTATAGTAACCACCCAGCCAAAACAGCTTCTCCAATGATGACAAGAAGTGGTCACAGATCAAACTACCAATTGAGATACACATCACACCCGAAGTTTTTGATACAGGAACACCATCACCATGAATCAAGAGTGGTATGCATTTCTGCTTGAAGTCTGGCCGTCTCATGATATCCATGTTCATCCGACGAGGGTCTGCGGCGTGGCAGTGCTCCCAAAACAAT